TAAGCGCAGGTACGTGTTACCACTCGTGACTGAGGGATCTCAGGGCTGTCCAGAACTGATATCAAGGGCCTCCTCATAGGCATTCTGAGACTGTCTCAAAAGGAATCAACCCTGTACGTTCAGCCGTGCCGGTTCTAATTGATTTCGTAATCCATGTACTATTGAAATCTGAATAAGACCAGGTGTGTGTTACTGCTTGTGACTGAGGGATCTCAGGGCTGTCAGTCCACTTCAGGCACCTACTTTGGCCCATTCTGTGACTGTCTCAAAAGGAATCAACCCTGTACGTTCAGCCGTGTCGATTCTAATTGATTTCATAATCCATGTACTATTGAAAATTGAATAAGACCAGGTGTGTGTTACCACTCGTGACTGAGGGATCTCAGGGCTGCCAGAACTGATATAAGGGCTTTTCATAGGCATTCTGAGACTGTCTCAAAAGGAATCAACCCTGTACGTTCAGCCGTGCCGGTTCTAATTGATTTCGTAATCCATGTACTATTGAAATTTGAATAAGCACAGGTGCGTGTTACTACTCGTGCCTGAGAGAACTCAGGGCTGTCAGAACCCTTCAGGCACCTACTTTGGGACAATCTGAGACTGTCTGAAAAGGAATTAACCCTGTACGTTCAGCCGTGTCGATTCAATTCGATTTCGAAATTCTTGTACTATTGAAATTCGAATAAGCACAGGTGCGTGTTACTACTCGTGCCTGAGAGAACTCAGGGCTGTCAGAACCCTTCAGGCACCTACTTTGGGACAATCTGAGACTGTCTGAAAAGGAATTAACCCTGTACGTTCAGCCGTGTCGATTCAATTCGATTTTGAAATTCATGTACTATTGAAATTCGAATAAGCACAGGTGCGTGTTACTACTCGTGCCTGAGAGAACTCAGGGCTGTCAGAACCCTTCAGGCACCTACTTTGGGACAATCTGAGACTGTCTGAAAAGGAATTAACCCTCTACGTTCAGCCGTGTCGATTCAATTCGATTTCGAAATCCATGTACTATTCAAATTCGAATAAGCCCAGGTGTGTGTTACTACTCGTGCCTGAGAGAACTCAGGACTGTCAGAACACTTCAGGCACCTACTTCGGGCCAATCTGAGACTGTCTCAAAAGGAATCAACCCCGTACGTTCATCCGTGTCGATTCAATTCGATTTCGAAATCCATGTACTATTCAAATTCGAATAAGCCCAGGTGTGTGTTACTACTCGTGCCTGAGAGAACTCAGGACTGTCAGAACACTTCAGGCACCTACTTCGGGCCAATCTGAGACTGTCTCAAAAGGAATCAACCCCGTACGTTCATCCGTGTCGATTCAATTTGATTTCGAAATCCATGTACTATTGAAATTCGAATAAGCCTAGGTGCGTGTTACTACTCGTGCCTGAGAGAACTCAGGACTGTCAGAACACTTCAGGCACCTACTTTGGCCCAATCTGAGACTGTCTCAAAAGGAATCAACCCCGTACGTTCCGCCGTGTCGATTCAATTCGATTTCGAAATCCATGTACTATTGAAATTTGAATAAGCCCAGGTGTGTGTTACTACTCGTGCCTGAGACAACTCAGAGCTGTCAGAACACTTCACGCACCTACTTCGGGCCAATCTGAGACTGTCTCAAAAGGGACTAACCCTCTACGTTCAGCCGTGTCGATTCAATTCGATTTCGAAATCCATGTACTATTGAAATTCGAATAAGCCCAGGTGCGTGTTACTACTCGTGCCTGAGAGAACTCAGGGCTGTCAGAACACTTCAGCACCTACTTTCGGGACAATCTGAGACTGTCTGAAAGGAATTAACCCTGTACGTTCAGCCGTGTCGATTCAATTCGATTTCAAAATCCATGTACTATTGAAATTCGAATAAGCACAGGTGCGTGTTACTACTCGTGCCTGAGAGAACTCAGGGCTGTCAGAACCCTTCAGGCACCTACTTTGGGACAATCTGAGACTGTCTGAAAAGGAATTAACCCTGTATGTTCAGCCGTGTCGATTCAATTCGATTTCGAAATTCATGTACTATTGAAATTCGAATAAGCACAGGTGCGTGTTACTACTCGTGCCTGAGAGAACTCAGGGCGGTCAGAACCCTTCAGGCACCTACGTTGGGACAATCTGAGACTGTCTCAAAAGGAACTAACCCTCTACGTTCAGCCGTGTCGATTCAATTCGATTCCGAATCCATGTAC